AGATTAATTGTTATAATTAAATATAATTAATTAATATCAGTAAAATAAAGTATGAATTACTGTTATAATATAAAATTTAGGAAAAAAAATTACCGTAGAATTAAATAAAATTTTGCAACCTCGAAATACCGTTCTACTTACAGTAAACACACTCGGTAGTCTGGCGCTCCGTTTACAGCGGATTTGAACGGAACTTGGCGCCAGATTCTATCGAATCTGTGGATTTCAGCATTTTTCGAATAGCATTACAACTTTTAGAAATTGTAAGTCCCGCTTGTAACCATTTTTCTTCAACTTTTTTTATAGTAACACAAGCACTTGTTTTTAAAGTCAATTTATTCACTTTATGCTCATACAAAAATACAGACATAACCTCTCCATTTGTGGGCAGTTTACGTCCAATAAAATTTTTATTCATTTCACCAATTAAGTATACATTTTTTTCCATTATTGATAATAAAATAATACAATTTTTAAAAAGTGAAATATCTTTAAATTTTTATACATCAAAATCATAATTATAACAAACAGCCAGGAACCAGAACAATAATTAAGCAAGAGTACAAGAAAGGAAGTTGATAATGCGACACATCTCTATTTCACCGATAAAAAAGTGCCCTACATTTCCTACAAACCACAGTTGATCGTTTTTCCGAAAAATTTTGTACATACAATTCAAATTTTTTTAAACTTATAAAAGAGAATTAATTTCAAATTTTTTAAATTGAAAAGTCATTTATTCCTCATAGTAGAACAATAAATACCGACTCTGCCAACGACGTTAAACCTGATAAATTAATATTTTAAGACAAATTTTTTTTTTCAATAATAGTTATAAAATATTTAAGAAAAATTAAGGAAAAAAGGTTTAATTAATTACATTTTGAACTTTAAACTCGAATAACTTTTAAAGGAGAAGACTTAGAGAAAAAACAAGAAACAATTTATTTAGAGCATTCAATTTCCTTCAAAAATATGTATCTATCACCCCGAAATGTTAATTCCAAAATTAGTTGGAAAAATTCTAAAGTTAAAAAATTTTTTTTTCCATGTTATTTAAATGTAAAATAGAAATTTACGATGAGAGAACTTTCAAAATTGATATTAAGAGCTCCCGTTTTCACAGGCTTCTTTTTTTATGACTAGGAAGATATTTCACTGCGAATTTTGAAAAAAAAAAATAGTCGATTTTTTTGAACCGGTCTAATGATTATATATAATAGTATATAATTAGATATAACATTTTTCCAATAATTATATATAATTTCATATAATTATATATAAATAGATATAATCATATCTAATTTTATATAATTTGTAACAAAACTGTTCCCCAAAATTTAACTAAATTTCACCGGAGGCGGAGGTACCGGTTAAGTAAAGTCTTTTACGCTCGCCCTTCTTAATAAATAATAATAAAATTAACCCGAAACTTCTCAGGCTGGGTTAGTGCACGAAAGGACGCCAGATAATTTTTCTAAAAATTACCAAAAATAATAAAAATTCCAGGGGCTGCGCCGGACGATCAATTAACGATTTAAATTAATATGAGTGAAAAATAAGCCACGAAGAAATTAAGATTAAGATTAGAACAGGCTTTAGAATTAGAAATGATGAATAATTAATTATAAAATAATATTTTATATTAGCTAATTGAGATAGGAAGATAAATTGCAGGAAAAGAATACAGGAAAGTCAAATAGTTAGCATAAAGGAATTAATCTAAGAAAGTTTCCAAAGAAAATGAATTAATTAAAAATAAATCTTTAATTATAAATTTATTTTAAATTATGGCCTAAGAGGTTTAAATTACTGAAATCCTCCGTGGGCCAACTTAATTCTAATTTCAAATACAAAATAAATCCGTTGTGGAATTCTTGAATAACAAATAATTTTCTGTTCAACTTAAATATAATAGTATTGCGCTCAAAAA